AAATGAATATCAAGCAATGCACCAGAAAGATACCTAATCGCAAGGTAAAAGAGAAATATATGGCAACAATGTACTGACAATATAGGCTGCTTATGACGGAAACACAATAATAAACACCTCAAGGAAATTAGAAACCGTTTTTACCAAAACTTCTACAATGATCTACTCCAAGAACCTGGTGTTTCATATATTGCGGAAAAGACACGTCAGCACGAAGTTAAAGGGGCAAAAGGGTCATTTGAAGAGTAACAACGTAAAAAAGTCTACAGTTGCGGAACACAGGGCAGAAACAGGACAAAATTTTAATGAAAAGGAGAAGATTTTAGCTTCTATATTGAGATTGTACAAGGTGGTAATAGAAACTCAAAATAATTGAAATAACTTCAACTGAGACAGGAGGTTCTATCTGGAATTTGGAAATGATTCATCTACAAAAATCAAGGAAGGGACCAATAACTATAAGCCATGCATCGGGGGGCCATGGACCAGTGCACACAACAAATACGAATGGCAACCAGGGAAGTCAGGGAACCTAATTTCCAGTTTCAGAGTTTCTTCCGAAGAAGAGAGCGATATGGCTCTCTAAACGTCAAGAAACTTAAACCGACGACGTGGCAACCATTGTCTGCCACGGGAGCCTGCAAACCAAATAAAAAATTCTAATTAAAAAATAGAAATAACAAATTAGATCTGGAATTAACAACAACGAAGCCTATTCAACTTGTAAACTTACGAGTAATACACATTTTTCTAATATTTTTCTAAATTTCTTGGACACAGTCATTTCTTCGTTTATGGTGGCAATAGCTTCCTGAATTTTTTGTAGTAAATCAATGTTATCATCAAAATCGTTTGAATACACTTTTTGCTTTAAATATCCCCATAAGAAATAATCTAATGGGGACAAGTCGGGTGCCCGTGCAGGCCAAGGTATTGGTCCATAGCGTCCGAACCACTTGTTCGGGAAGTGAACGTCAAACCAATTTCTCACTAGAAGTGTGAAATGTGCAGGACATCTGTCTTGAACTATAGGTTTTCTTCTGAACTCTAAATTTTCGCTATCTAGTTCTGATGGGGCAGATTTAATTGCATTAAAGAGACATGGGGTGGTGTAGCAATCTTCAAACGTTGTCGAAGGATATATTTGAAGAATACTTTGCAAATAAACTAGACATAACAGGTATAATATTAAGACGGGAAGAGATAAAGATAAATTTGCTAATATAGCAATAATATTGTTGAAGAAGAAATAAGTAAGGGCGATTTTTCGCGATTTAAAAAAATGGGTGGTGGAACAATCCTAGCCCGGACTCAGATTCAGTGCGTCCAGATACATAAAGATATATAGATCTAGATCACTTTTCTTTTTTGTGTGCCAGTGAATTTTCCATGTTTTCTGTATTTAAGGGTAGTTTTTCGCGATTTAAAAAAAATGGAGGGTGATGGCGCAATTCTGGCTCCGAAATGCATGAGGATATATGGGTGTAATCTTTGTAAAAGACCAATTAAAGGATCAAAAGAATTTCCGACATTTTTCCATGATTTTTGACAGACTGTATTTAGTGAAAAATGGTCGTATCGGAAATTAAAAGAAAAGCATTTTGAAGCTCTAAGATTCTAGTCTTTAGATCTTTTGGTCGAAATTTTTTAGGAGCTATGGTTATCATGCAATTCTAAGAAATAGCGCGAGTCCACGCCATTACATGGACCAGATAGCTTGTTTATTCAGCTTCAAATTCCTTTTCTTTAAATTTCGATACAACCATTTTTCATCGAAATATCGGACTTTAAATTGCGAACCGTTTGTTTATTTCAAACAGTCAAACTTTTGAAAAAAATTAAAAAACGATTCACGATTTTTAAACTTAAATACTTCATAATCATGATTAAAATGGAAAAAAAATGTTTTTTTGAGATTTTCTCACATTTTTACCACAAAAATTGATTATTAAAAAAAAGAATTTCGAATTTTTTTTTTTTTGAAAAACCTTCCGGACATTGAAGAAAACAAAATCCAACTATATTTCTGTTCATTAACTTTTAATTAAATTAAAATTAAAGTTGATGAACCAAAACAGATTTCGACCCCGATTCATACCGTTTTTTGAGACAAATTTCTAATTAATTTTTGTGCAGTGTGTAATCTCTTAAAAAACAGTTTTTTCAAAATAACCCTTTTTCTTCTCTGAAAAAAAAAAATAAAAAATTCGGGAAAAAAATACTATTAGAAGTTTCTCTGCGGAATATTGTTCGGAAACCTGTTATCAATAAAATATCAAAAAATCAACTCGAGGCNTTGTGTAATTAACTATATGCAACCTGTCACCATATGTGTGAAAGTACAACAAACTACAAAATCACCAAAACTGCAAATATTGACAAGTTTATACCACTCTAATTCACTTTTTAAAGGAGCACGCCTAAAAATGTTCACACCAGCATGCTAGTACTTTTCTATTTTTCTCACCTGCGTATGAGGCTATTCTCCCCGAGCATGCGCATTAGGAATAATACGGCTAATGTTAAATTTTTACTTTATTAAAGGAATATTCCTTTATATCGTTTTTTGTAAGTTTTAAGCACATCACAAGTGTATCTATTTTACGAAACACATGTTAGTTGTTCTTAAATACTTCCAAATCCTTGTAAAAATAAATTAATTTGAAGTTGTTCATTTTTATAGTNTTGTGTAATTAACTATATGCAACCTGTCACCATATGTGTGAAAGTACAACAAACTACAAAATCACCAAAACTGCAAATATTGACAAGTTTATACCACTCTAATTCACTTTTTAAAGGAGCACGCCTAAAAATGTTCACACCAGCATGCTAGTACTTTTCTGCTCAATGAATAGTCTTTAAAAATCTCCGTTGTACTTTCTCTAATTGAATATTATAGATATTATAAATGGGACTCCAAATAACCGATGCATATTCAAGTTTGCAACGCACAAATGCTGCATACAATATATTATTATTTAGAACCTTTACGTTCTGAAAGTCCTTAGAATTACGCAAAATAAAGCCCAAATTCTTATAAGCAGATTTGGTTACTAAACTAATGTGTTCGTCAAACGATAAACTGGTATCAAATGTAACACCAAGGTCAGTAAATTGCGTAACTCTATTTAAAAGATTCACCAGTTTTATAATCAAAATCTAGATTAGTTTTGCGTCGACTGTAAGACATAACTATATATTTGCTTACATTCAGATGTAGGTTATTACATGAATACCAATTGTGTAATCTGTCAAGATTATCTTGTAATCTAGTACAATCAGTAGAGGATTTATCTTCCGAGAACAAATTAATGTCGTCCGCATAGAGTAAATATCGAGGCATTCAGTTGTCATTAATGAAAATAATAAATAACAGTGGTCCCTGATTGACCCTTGCGGAACTCCTGAAGATTGATAGAATTTACATTATTGAAAGCCTCGATACTGCACAAATTGGTACCTATTACTAAAATAATATTTAAACAAAGATAATAGAGCAGTGGATATACGATATTATGACTCAAATTTCAATGTTCATAAATTATGATCAAGCCAATCGAAAGCTTTGGAAAAATCGGTATACACAACATCAACCTGACTTCCTACATCCAAAACTTCAGCAAGAAATTGGGTTTTCTCAACTAAATTTGGGGTAGTAGCACGACCACTCATAAATCCATGTTGGTACGGAGATAATGATTTTTCATTATGAAGATAAAGTCGATTGTGTAAAATTGTTTCTAGGTTTTTTGAGAAGTTACTTATAACAGCTATGGACCGGTAGTTAGTTATGTCGTTCTTAGTACCTTTTTTATAAACGGGACATATTTACTATAAAATTTATGGAAAAGTTAAAAATCACTTAATTTACTTGTTTTACTCAAAATGGCCAAACTGATGTCGAAGTTAGAAGGTGGCTACAAATAGTACTTTCGCCTTTTTTAGATGACAAGAAAAATGACACATGGAAGAATGTGTAAGAGAAATAGGTTGTTAAAAATAAATAACTGACATACGTTACATATTTCTAAATCCACTTGCATCCTCTAGTTTATACCGCTTTACAGTAACATTTACCCCATTGAGATAAGCTGACTGATTTTAAGTCAAAGAATTTGTAGTATTACGTTGTCCTACATATTTTCCAGATGCCTAGTATNAAAAAAAACCTTATCTACGTGATTAAAATAAAAAGTAAATATACAGAAAAGAGATTATATATTTACCATGACAATAAATTAAACATCATCGTCGCTAACCAAAATCTTTCTACCATTACATATAGCAAAAATTTTACCACCTGAAGACCATGCTTGACCATTGCCATATTTTACCTTAGCAGCTTTAAGTAGTTCATAACGGGACTTCGGCAAATCTTCAAACAAAGCAACCTTACAATTAAGCGTTTTTAAGTACTTCTTTGAATTGAACACTTCAGTACGTTTCCAATTATGTAGGAAGTTCACCAATATAGCTCTTGGTTTACCAGGGTCGCGGGTAGATTTACCTAAACGATAGGCAAAATTTATGTCCTGAACAGAGCAAGGAATCTTCATCGTATTATTAATAAAATCTGAGATCAGATCAGGAACGCCTTCTCCCTCTACCTCTTGAAGTCCATGAAATCGAATTGAATTTTTCTTGTATTGCTGATGAAGCATATCACAAGTTTTGTTTATGTCGACTATATCACTTTTATTACTTTGAATCGAATCAGCAAAGGTTTTGAGGGAAATGTTAATGTCAGCAACTTGCTTACTCAAATAATCCAGCTTATCAAGTTTGGACATCTTTGATGAAATAACCTCCATTTTAGCATCCATTTCAGCTAATACTGCATTACATACTTTACTAACCATGTCGTCAAATACTTGTGAATATTTAAAATGTAAAAAATATCTTGTGTCAAGGTAAAAAAATTTTTGTCATTCGCTATTAAAAACACAATAAAAGCCAAGTTAGTGACCGAATACGGTAGGTCAAAATTCACTCAGCGGTCAGGAGCAGTCTGAAAAGGAATTTAAATAATGATTTGAAAATACATTTCTTTTCAGCGCAAATACACATTTTTAAATTTTTTTATTAATCGCATATTCGTATTCTACTCATTTTTCTCTAGCTTCCCTTAAAATTAATGACAGTATAACTGAATCACCCTATATTTAAAAAAACTTATTTGGACTGTTTTTCTTTTAACTATGTATCTACAAGTTAAAATTATATTTTTTACATATCATAAAAATATACTGAAAATTCAAATATGTATTTTACTGTTGTTCTGAGTAAGTATATCAACAAATAATTGAACTTCAATTGTCAGATGGCTTCACCATGATCGTCCATTCCCGAAATATAAAAGAGCATAATAAAGAGCATTAATAGTGATCTGATGTCGATGTCGATATGTTTGGTACATTTTTTCTTAGTTTTTCCCAAATCTCAAATCTTTTTTTAATCCAGGAAAAATCTACACCCTTTTAATGTTCCAAATTTTTATTTGTACTTGCAACCTACAGTTTCGCAAACACTTGTACATAATTCGAGATTTTACAAATTTACACTTATTTACAGGACTGCATGAAATAAAGTTATTTAAAGTAATCCAAATTAATGACAAGTCCCTTGCAATAGTTTAATTTGTTTTAGATTTTTGTAAGACATATTGTCATTTTCAGGGTCGAATTTTAAGGTCGAGTCTAAAAATGTCCACAAATTCATGTATAAAATTATTATTTGGAAAGAGGGTGCACAAACATGAATGGTCAACTCGGCTTTGCTTGAGGGACCCCTTAATAATTTAAGGAACTATTGTGAAAGGAAATAAAATAAACATACCTTTTACTATGTACACCAAATTCAGGGCCAAAGCTCGGAGTCTAAATTGTTTAACCGCACACTGTTCCACAGGACTGAGCCCCACAAAGAAAAACTGTAACTTCAGGCAATGCTGTAACAGGTTTTGAATACTGGTTTTTAAATTATTGGCCTGTTGTGTTGCTAGAGTTCCCGGATTCGCCCAGAAACCTTTTTCTAATATTTGAGATATGTGAAGCTGAGCTCCTATATACAACGAAGTGAATTGTGCGGTTCCAGCAACCGTAGAGTCCATTTCGCTCAGGCGATTAAGATGTTCTTTTGCTGTTTGGAGTAAAGTTGTATGTACTCTGAAAATATATAAAATTTCTAGCATCAGATACTACCATACCATTAAAAAAAAAGGATAAGCCAACATAGGGATATCGAAAGATATAGGGTAGCTTAAATTAGAAATAAGCTACACAATAAAAATGGCATACTAACTAAAAACTAAACAACTAAAATTTTCTACTTTATATTCTATTTTATTTCTTCTGATGTTAATATCAGACCAAGTTGGATACTTTTTCATTAGCATTTTCTAAAATTTTACTTATTAAAAGGCAATAAGCAGCTGCAAATTTTGTTACTTATCACAGCTGTACCATCAATTTCTTTTTTTAATACAGCACTGACTTTTAAAATACATATTTTTCAAAATATTTAAGCAGTAAACCAAAAAAAAAAAAATTTTACAAATTAAGTACCCTACAATTTATTAAACATCAAACAGAAATAGTTAAAATACTTTAAACTTTATTTGGTTTTAAAAGGATTAACTTTAAAGAATCATACTTGATGAAAAAAAAAACTAATAATTGTAATGTTTCCAAAACAAAATTAAACCACTAATGACAGCAACGAACGTAGAATTAAAAGTGTTCAAAGTATATATTTTAAGACAAGACTGTTTTTTTAAGGCAAGCTTTTTTAGATTTGACGACATTGATGACTGTGGATGGCCTAACTTCCCCTGAAAATGTGGGCAAAGTCAACAATTTTTTGATTTAAAAAACCATCAAATGATTATTGCAAACAATATTAAATTTCCCCCACTGAGTCACGATGTAAAATTTTTTTGTCAGTAACATCAAATGTACATATCGTACAGTTTTATAATGCAATACCAAAGCTAAATATAATTTTGTAGATGAAGCGATTAGTTTAAATTTACTATCTCTAAAAAATATTAAACACTTTAAAGAATCACAAGATATTTTTTAATAAGATTATGGCAATTTAAAAAAACGAAAATTAAGGCAAAATTGTCATTAGTGTATAAATCAAAAAGTTATTACCACTCACAAATCTATCTATTCTGAAATTTCCCATATTTAAAAGTGATATATGCTACAGCTCTTCACTCATTTCAATGGTTTCCTAACGGCATCATTTTCTGTAATACGTGTGATGCTATTTTTTTAATAGATTTCAATAACCCCATGACAGACATCCCTATTTTGGGCAGGGTGGTATATTTTACTTCAGGCACCTTATTAGCAAAAACAAATCTAAATTGCCTTTTCTTTAGAAATATTTAAGGTACCCTGAAAGATTTCATATTTTTTAGAGATGTGCCGCAGACATGTCAGCTGGAAATGTCTATGGGACATGTCGTCAAAAGTAGACATGTCCTGAGGTCACTTTTCAAGATTGGAAAGTTGTATGCGCATGCGTGGAATTATTTGTTGCATTCATGATTCCCGCAAAAAATTTTTGAAGTTGGTACATGTAAAATTAAAGATATTTAGCCATTTTCTTGTAATTTTGTTGGTAATTGTTTAACTGAAACTGACATTTTAAAAATATAACCTCTTCTATGTTCATATTTTATTATTTTTGGCAAAGTTAACGATTACCTAGTAAATAGTAATCAGTTGATTCATAATTTAATATTTAATACACAGAGTTTATAAATGAAGTATGATGCCAAAATCAATAGATTGGTTATATTTTTCTGAATTGAGTAAAAATCATTATAAATGTAACTTCCACTCAAAAACAATTTTTAAGAATTCCAGTAGGATGGAAAAATATTTAAATAAATGTATGGGCTGTCCGGGGAAAATTAGAAATCAGTTATAAAAAAGTCTAAAGGTAGGTAATAAATAAAATATATCGACACATATTCATTAGAATAAAAGTAATATTTTGCTTTGTGTACCCTCAAGTATTGACCTGTGAAAACATGACAAAAGTACTTTTCCCGACATGTCCGGACATTTCATCGACATGTTCATAACACTTTTCCGAAAAGTGTCCATCTCTAATATTTTTGCAAGCATGTTTACTTACCTTATTGTATTTTCAGCCATATCAAGGTTTCGTATCACACTGTTCAAAAATTCTAAACTTTCTGGAACTGACATGGGCCTCGAGACAACATTGCAATTGGAATCCGGCAGGTTGAGAATTGGAACGTACTGCGTCATGGTATCTCGCAAATAAAGATAATGCCTGAGAGTGTGAGGCTCCAGAAGTGGCAGTATAGTTAAGGAGTGTTGTGCAGCGTTTAGAATTAAGATCAATAGACAGATATCTATACATTGGATAAGGAAATGTTTGCTTCGAAATTAACAACTAATTAATAACAATAACACAAAAAAAGGATACATTGAGGATTTTCTACATCAGGCTCAGCAGTGTCAAAAAATGGATGTATATTCAAAAATTGCGGGACCAAAGGCAACACCAGCTCCGGATGTTGCGATCCAATTTTTTGTAGGCATTTAAAGGTGGATCTTTTATCTTGAGGATATCTCTTTAAATTATCCAGTAACTTCTCCACACACATTTTTAGTCCGGCAGTGGTGGACATTTTGCACGAAGCTAACATTCCGTGCAGTCCTTCTCTTACATCTTGGGAGAAGTCCTCCAAGGCCCCTAAGGATCATTGTCAGACAATTTTCCAAATAAAAAAATTAATAGAACCCACCTAATATCGTTTCTAGCTGATCGTCTCTTAAAATTATGTGTTCTGATATCATCCTCAAACTATCAATTGCCTTTAACCTGACATCCTCAATTTCATCATTGAACATGTCTACTAAAAAGTCCAGCGCCATATTTGCGAACTGTGGATTACTTATTGACAACTGGCACAAGGATTCTACGGCGGCGGATCTAACTTCTACAAACAATAATGATGAAGAGTAGAATTATATATCTAGCTTTGCGACTCCTGTTCCAAAACATCGCACATATAATCTCTGCTTAAAGAGATAATTAAATAGAGAAATTCTCTACCACAAAAGCAAATTTTAAAGAACCCCACAACTATCATTATGGAAAACCGGTCCCGGTCGAATGGTACGAAACTTTGCCGAATGATAGTGTTGACCAAAAAAGTCCATGGGACCTAGATCTGAAAAACTACTGTTCTGAAGTTATCAAATCCATGTGCTCGATGACCATCAAATCCAATGATTTATGGGCAAGTAAAAGCTAATATTTCTTTATAAAGTGACCAAGCTGGTTGGTTCTTGATGTATTTTTGTGTGCTGAATGTGAATCCGCGGTAAAAATACCTGTATCATCCTTCAGTCTTCAAAAAATCGGTGAAGCACCTACTGAAGAACAGCGATAGTGACACGTACTGCTTGAGCGACATCTTATGTTTTTACGCATATAAAATATAAATGGATTCGATAACTTCAGAAGGCTCTAGCTTCAGAACAGTAGTTTTTCAGACCTAGGTAGGTCCCATGGACTTTTTTGATCGACACATTGAAGACTATCATTTGGCAAAGTTTCGTACCATTCGACCAGGACCGGTTTTCATAAGGATAGTTGCGGGGTCCTTTGGAATAGTAGTATAATCAGTATGTGTCACAGTGACCACTTAGAACATTTCAGAGATTTTCTGCTACTTTTTAAGTAATAAAAATTAATATTGTTATACCAGAAGTTAACACCAATTTTTTTCATTTAAATGGCATGTCACATTTTTAATTGCGTTTTTGAATTCTACTCATGTTTTAATGATAATATAGTCAGAGAGGGAAAAACAGCACAAAATAATGTGTTTTATAATGTGTCTTTTTATGTTTAAATTAAGTTTTTAGTTCTTAGAACCCAGAAAATAATGTCGATGAGTAAGTTAATAGAACATACAGAAAATTAAAATCGGAATTAATATATTTTAAACCTTAGAGCCTACTACATCGAAACGGACTATAAGAAAGTCTTAAAACAGAATCATCCAGCTTCATACGTGAAGTCATAAATTTAACAGGAATACATAATGCTTTAAAATAGTTTGCAACTGTGTCTAGAAAAAATACTCTAAGAAAAACACTTGCCTAAAAATTCATCTTCCAGCCCATGTACAAAAGCGCCACAAGCTCCACTGCTCATTAAACTTATACTCTCTGCATCTAAAAGCTCCCTTGGTGCATCATCAGCCCACTTTTTACCACTAGCCCACTCCCCACTAGTAACATTTTCCCAGGCAAGCTCATGAGCCGTCCTCTTAAAAATAATTGCGAAATATTAATAAATGTGTTTGTTATTTTCTATATGTCTATGTATATTAAATTTGTACTAATTGTACTTACTTTTCTTCTCATATTGGACATTAACTTCTTGTCTAAAGTCTGATTAAGGAATTTTGGACTGACTAACTTCATACCGCCTAGTAATTTTGAAGCAAGTGTTCTGACTTGCATTGAAAGATCTGTTACACCATTGCATATTTTTCCAAAAGCGTCATCTATCAACCGAATCTCATGTTCACTTCCAGGTAACAATATTTCACTAAACGCAAATATGCAAATAATAAAGCAAACAATACAAATAACAAGTATTATAGGAAATTTAAGTAATATAAAAAATGTAAGATAAACTATCACCCGAAATCTACAAATGGCAATTCTACTTGTCTTTGACAAGTTAAATATAAAATAATTTGAATTATGCATAAACAAAAGTAAAATGTAAATATAAAAATAATAATAACATGGGAAATAATCAATTAAGTACTTACTTTTCTGGATAAGTATTTCCTAATAGCCAAATTAACTTAAGAACGACATGTCTAACAATCTCATAATCATCTTTTAATGCCTCACAAACATCAATATAAATTTTTGGATTGATTTTAAACCCTCTTTCATGTAAAGTTATAACAGTCGAAAATGCCTGGCTTCTTACTCTGGCATCATCATTGTTAAAATAAGAGCTTACTAAATGCAACAATTTTTCAGTGTCATCTTCAGTACAAAGTGGGAAGTGACCACCAATAATTTCCAAACACTTGCATTTTACAGCATGGCTGACGTCTTTCAAATATAATTTCCCTACTTCAACTAACTTTTGGTGAAATGGCGATACATTGTCTGGAATCAATTTACCGAGTTTAAGAATAGTGTTCATTCCTTGTGCAATAACTTTATGTGACTTGTCACTTTTTAGAAGGGAAATTGTTTCGTCAATAATTAGCGCAACATCAGCATTAGGTTCATGCCCCAAATCAGACAATAAAGATAAAATCTTTACTCTTACGGCAGATTCAGATTCATTTCTAAAATGTTCACTCAACTTCTTAACAAAATCTGCTATGTCTCCTGCCTCTACATCAAAATTGTCTGAAATACGAAGTAAAATTTGGAGAGCTTCACTACTATTCACAGAATCCTCCAAAAGATTTAATAGAGTCAAAGCAGAACTTCCTGGACTGAGGGTTGGCTTTTTCACTAAACGTAGCTTTTTCAATGGCACTTGAGTATGGGCCTCCTAAGCGTAATAACAAAAAAATATTAAAAAGGAAAACAAAGGTGCTCTATTATGTTACCTACCTGAATAGTCTGACTATATTCAGCTAGGGCTCGTTTTTTTAAAACTGCGGCCATTTTATTATACAAATATTTGTATGTCTTAAGTTTTAGGTTAGGTATTAGTTAGTCTATTTCCTTGATTACGGTTAAGTTGCAAGTTAAATATAAAATTAAAATTTCATGTAGCATAGACATAATAATTCCATAACCTCATATTTCCTGATTCCTGATTTCATCAATAAATAAATAAAACAATAGAACACAAATCTTTTAACAGAATAGCCAACTGAACAATAGTTATTAAGAAATAGATCACAGATTAGTAGGTTTTGCAGATCAAACTCTTTACTTCTCGCCAAGTTGTGTTAAACCAGCGCCTCTATTGACGCGTTCTAATACTGTAAGACAACGAATTGGACTAATATAAATTCTATGTTAATCAATTTTATTATGAATATACAAAAAAATATTATGTATATATTAGATTTCACCTAAATAAATTATTGCTAATATAATTTTTCAAAAGTTAGCAGGATCAAGATTTGTAATATAAGTTGCAGTTTTTAAATAATATGCGCCTTTTTAGGAATTATTTACAAAAATAAATAAATAGAAAAATGAACTCTAGGAACGTTGGAAAACTTAGTTTTCGTGGTAAGTTCACTTATAGTGCACTTAAACATAGTCTTAAAAAATATCCAAAATGTTCAACATTTTCCTCTCTATTGCCACCCCCGTAATCGTGAAATACCGGAATCACTTTTGTTCTACACAAAAGGGTCCAACGTACTCAACAGCACCAAGACCACTCCGATCGATCTTTACCTGCGCCCAGCGGTTTATACTCCTCTATACACATGAACCTATATTTCTCTAACCTCTAAGGTTACACTAAGGATTCCTTAAACATTTCCAATATTAAAACATTACAGTTTTAGTTCACATCTTCTTGACAATAACTCTTTTAATATTAGAGATTAATTTACCAAACCCTATAGCACTGCTACCCTGAGAAAAAAAAAACGCCAGGGTGTTCCATAGAAAACTTTATGGTAAGATTGGTACAATATCTTGACTACTCATCTTGACTACTCATCTTGTCTACGAAATACGAAGTCGTGAAGTACGAGTGACGAAGACAGGAAATCTTAATAGTAGGGCAGTAGGTACTAAATAAGTGATATCTGAAAAATATAAAATGTTTAGTACTTAGGTATAAATTAATCATAAATTACGGCTCTGCTAAAATATATACAACATTTACACAAAAAAATATTTAATTAATTAGTTATAGACTAGGCGGTATCTGTTTTGGTTTGGGTGAATCGTATATCCACGGAGATTTTTGGCTTTTTGGCTTTCAAATATCACTATAAATGAAAATTTTTCTATGCGCATAAAAAAACGTGGGCTTAACTTTTGGCGGCACAATATGTTAAAAAAATTAGAAAAATGTCATAATTTTCTTCCTATTTAATTATGTATCTTTTCAAGAGTTGATTTTAGGCGAAAATGGAAGAGGAAAAAAATGTTTGTAATTAAATTTTTTACAAAACATGACTAGTTACAAATCGAATAAATAATGATTATTATGGTAAAAATCTAAAAATCGCAAAAATGGGGTTACAAAACAATACTTTTTAGGGAATTTTTTTGGGGTATTTAAATTGGGTAAAGGACCTTTATACTTGGCTCAAGAAAACTTCATGTTACTTATGTAGAATCATCACACCAAATTTCATCAAAATCGGTTCGATAGATTTTGCATAATATGTTTTCTTTTTAAAGAAGCGTCTTTCCAAGAACTTTTAAAACCTGCTTTAAAAAATTTGATTTGATTGAATATTCACAAAGTTACTCTAATTGTTTATAAGTACAAAAA